TCCTGTCCACGTTCCTTGCTGTCAAGTTCAAATCAACTTCAGCGACACAAACAACTTCACTAACCACAACATGTGCGCCAACTCTGCACAAAACATGTTGCAATTAATTTGCTTTGGCACCTCCTTGGTCAAAGAAATCTTATGTAGTTGCTACATTCTTCACTTAGCTGTCAAGCCGAAAGACTGGCTTGGATCATCCTGTTTATTCTTCGTAGCTGTCCAAAAGAAGCACACCTCTTGAACCTACTCCTACTCTCCGCTTGGCCTTGCCGCGGTTTGCACCACTTCGCCTCAGCACATCTCGACCAGGTCTTCGTCCCACCAAAAAGGATGGCTGAGGAAACATGAAAGGGAGGCGAAGACCCTCGGGTCCGGACCAGTTTAGACCAGGACTTCGCCTCTTAACCCTCGGGTCCGGACCAGTTAGGGACACTTCGATGGGCTGGAGAGGAAAGATCTGGGAGGATCGAACCACGCCTACGCTGCCAGGCGTAGACACGATGTGTATATAATAGGACCTCTACCTAGAACCGTATAGTGACCTCTGCCTACCCAAAAGATGGCCTTTTCCCATCAAAACAGAGGTCAAATGGGTTCTAGGTATGGGTTCCATTGTAAATACTTGATTGACCACGCCTACGCCGCCTACGCTCTAAAAGGGTTGCAATATACATGGGTACTGCATCCTGCTACGAAGTGAAAAGCAATTAGGCCCACAAAAGAAAAGAAAAAAACATGGTCAGCTATATACGCATTCACGGCCAAAAAGACTAAACCACCCACGCTAGCAGCTAGCATCCCAAGCGCCAGCATGTAGCCATACTGTGGTTCACCTCATTGACCCCCACACACACACCAACCCCTCGAACTGATCAAGCCGAAAATGACAAGAAAAGAAGAATTGCCTGGCCTGACCCAACAAAAAGGGAGGGCAAAACCTGCCAACCTTCCGTTTCTGTCATCATTTCCTGCACCCCAGCTGTCCACAGCTGTCCAAACCAGTTAGCTTTCCCAGACCACACGGCGACCCGCTACGGCCCGCGCTTCGCACCGCTACGAGCACGGCCCGCAACGAGCCTCAGAGGGTGGCGATGGGGAACGTTTTGTGTTAACCCGGGATGATGTTTGAAGCTAGACTGTCGGTAGCAACCGGAATCGTACTGTCCACACGCTCTTTTCACTGCGAAAGCGAGCACGGTATAGCTCAAGGGCCCTAGGAGCCAAACGGCGGCAGACACAACATAGTGTGACAACCTGGCTCAACAGAATGAGATCCTACCTCAAATTCACACTCAACCTGTTCTACAGGTGTCGCACGGCTATACATTGAAACTCTTGTGTCTTCCTAAGGCGTTGGAGAATCTACTTCTGCTTCTGTACAGTGTAGTGGCACTCCTTCAGCACTCGTAGTAGCAGATCTGGCTTCATGGACTTCGTCAGACAGTCCGACACCATCGTACTGGTGGCAATCCAGATCAACTTGTCTCCTCCATTCTCGAAAATAATCCATGTTGGTCTTCCTTCTTGCCACAAATTCTCATGGATTCCTTGCAACTCGATACCAAGGCGCTTGTCACTCACCTTGGCCAGGACTTCCTGATTGAGGTGGTCAGAAAGCGAACGGCAATCAGTCATCGCCAAATGCGGAATGCATTCTCGGGCGTCATCTTCCCATGTCTTCAGACTGCGAATCTTACCCTTAATCTCCGCAATCACACCTCTCAGCTTGTCACCTGTCTCGAGTCCGTTCTGGAGGGAATACGTTTCGGCCTGGAGAGTGCTGCGGCAGACTCTCTTAATTGTCGTGGATCCAAAAGACAGTGGCATCACCTTATAGGTGGTCGTCTTGTTGTCCTTGATCTCCTTGAGATCACCCAGAAAATGGATCCTGCCCTGTTGCGACTTGTAGTTCTTCTCGTTGGAGAAGGAGGCATCTGTGACCGTGATCACACCAACTTCACTCCATTGGAGATGAGCCGCAGGAAAACACAATGCCACATCGTGACCCTTGTGTGCCAGGACAACGACTGCGTTAGCGTCTGCCAACGTGGACACAGTTGCATCTTTAATGCTAGACTGCAAACGGCTTACCCTGTAACCAAGGTCAGGCCTGGTCTGTCTCGAGATCCAGGCGAGCGATCCGGTGATCGACCTGAGCTTCGTGATGTCTCCTTGCTGGAGACGTTCACTGCCTAGCCTAGACCCAACATCTGCTCCATGAATCTTCCTAGTGTTATCTGCTGTGTCGACTTTGATGACCTTGTCATCTCCTCGCACGAACTGCTTCCCACAATATCGAAAGCTGTTAGTGTCTGAGCTGCCGACACTGAACTTGGCAAGAAAAGACTTCATCACTTCCTCGCCTTCCGGAAGAAAACTATAAAGCAAGTCGTCCACGTGAGTGCACATGAGGGCACAAGCATCTCCTCCCTGCTCACCTGGGAGGTAGTACAATCCTGGGAAAAACTGGCTTGCCTTCAGGCCGCTCTTACGTGCATCGGCATCCAAACGCAACCAAAAGCCTCTTCCTGAGTCCGTGATTCCGTATACAGGGACCCTCACGAGAAAAAGGACATTGGGTTCTACACCTGGCAAACCTCCTCTTGGCTGACGCATGAGAAGGACTCGGTCCAGTGGTCGTCCTTGGAAATATGCTGAGGTAATATCAGCGGAATGAATGTCGGCCTGGTGGCACGCTGCCCAGCTGCAGACGAGGCAATGCATCTCTACATCAGCTGTTGGACTATCTGACCTCAAACCCTCTGTCATTTCGAAGTTCCCGCACGAAACTAGTCTGCTTTTATACATGGGCTTGTAGTCAGGGTCTCTCCCCTTCTTGTACTCTGCTTTGTCTACATCCACCCATTTGGATGGAATGCATTGGTGCCCTTCGTCAATGAGCTCTTGCGCTTGTCCTGGGCTCAATGCCACTACTGCTCCGAAATCTTCAAATTTGGACCATTCCTTTTGCCTTGTTTCCTGCAGGGCTTTCTGCACTTCTGGAGGCGCAGACTCATAGTGAATGCTCTTTAGAACCTTCTTACCTAGCTCTGCTTCATCCTCAGTCTGGGCAAGAAAACTAGTCCACATGGCATGTGCGTCTTCTCGATCTTGCTCTGGTAGCTCTCTGTCTCTCTGACGTGCTCTCTCAAAATGTTCTCGTAGAGAAGCTGGCAAGTCGTTCAAATGATCATACACATTAGGCCATGCATGTGGAGCACTCGTGGATTCCCTGCGGGATGGTTGCAATGAGGTACCGCGTTCACTCTCCGGTTCGGCGACACGGGGCCTCACATTGCGGCTATGCTCATTTCCTGTGTCAGGGAACGGACGTGAAACGGAGCTAGCGGACCTACTCAACTCTTCAAGCGCATCTTCACTTTCGGATTGGTCTTCATCAAAGAAATCCGGTCTGATCCCTACATCTAACTCATCATCTTCTGGAACAGGGGGTAGTGAACCAGCATCCGGAAATTGGGGTTCGGTTTCTTGAGATTCGATGTGTATTGGGGATCCGGGTTCGCTCGGATCTGCACGTGCATCAAGGAAAGACTGCTGAACACCTTCCTTGACAACGTTTTCGGGAAAAACAGGCTCACCATGCAAAACAGCATGAGCTAGTGCTTCGGTCGGCGTAGCAATCTTCACGTTTTGGTTGGCGACCAACACTGGAACATTTCCACACAACAACCACAAATTCCTTTCACCTTCATGGCCTATCACCCGACTAGTGGGACTCCATGTGGTGCCCCCTTTTTGATTGTCTCGACGAAAGGTCACTAGATCACCTACTGCATACTCCCGAGGAAGACTGGAAGCATTACGAGTAAGCGCACGGGACACCCTTGACGAACAATCTAGGTAAACAAATGCCTTCTGAGCTTCCTGCCTGGCCATGTGCTGTAAGGCGAAAATGCTCTCTGGGTTGTGACGGGCTTCAATAGCTCCAAGCTCGGCAAACCGTTCTTCAGACAATGGGCTCGGATCTGATCGGGGTCCCTTTCCAAGTACCCATTGACTAGGCGAGAAACCTCCGACTCTACTAGAGTTGTTCTTGGTAGCTACTACCTCGAGCAGTACCTGCTCAACCTGTTCTCTGCCAATAGCGCCTGTCTCTTTGCACACCTTCCTAAAGAGTGACTTGACAATGCCTCCATGACGTTCTACACGACCAAGATTCTCCGGGCTTTCCAGAGGGGTGTGGTACACTTGGATTCCATGTTCATCCATGTACTTCTTCATGACACCTCGGTTGTGCAGACCTCTGTCACATGCAATGTTCACAGGATGGCCACACCATGAGAACCAACGCTTCCTCAGTGCTTTCAGACATTCGGCAGAAGACGGTTGACCGGCACCAAAACGAACAACCTCACACAGCTGAAAAGTAGTACCCAAACAAACCATGTTCAACACTTGGAACTTGTCACCTGAAATGTCGTGAACTTCAAACACATCAATTCCTACAGTGTGGTTGAACGAGTAGTTGTTAGGCAATGCTGTCTTGTGCGTGGCCTTCTTCTGGGATGTTGCTTCACAAGTTTCGCATCTGTGGATCCTGACAGCATCGATGAATTCCTTTCGAACCTTTGCTGCACGAAGGAGATGGATCATCGTCTGTTTGGGGACGTGTCCAAATTGCCTATGCAGTCTTCTCACACCAATCCTCACACGTGCAGGCAACTTGCGCCACATCCGGCGTCGTTCGGCTTCATCTGCTGGCAGGCCTGGGATGTCTACTTCATCGACCAGTGTCTCTTCCGAGATCAGGTCTTCTACTGGGTTCACCTGAGCACGGTCATCATCATCCCAGATGGCATCGAACTGCTGTTCATCGTCCATCACCTCTTCCTGCAGTTCACCAACAAATGCAATAGACATCTCATCATCCAAAGTTGTATCATTGGTCCATTCACCTAACCAATCAACAAACTGCCAAGACAAGACATCATTCATGGTCTGCCCTCGAAACCACGATTCGAAAAGCTCAGTCCACTTGGGATCATTGCAGGTGAATGCCAAGTCATGGTCGTTGATATGGGGAATCTGTGGAAACTCATGTTCCTCCCATCTCGACTTAGTTGCAACGTCAATGTGCAAAAACCGGCTACCACTCATGTCACAATGGGATTCTACTTCACCCAAAATCTTTCCATGTCTCAAAGGATCTGTACTCCGTTCATACTCGATGGCAATGACGATGTTCTTGTAGTCTTGCAGAACATCATACCAAATCTTGGAGTTCTCCTCTGGATTGAGGTGCTCAGCTCCCACACCGACGTCAAAAACGTCTGCAACACCATCTGCTGCTTGAAGCTCCTGAAAGAGGCGGGGATGCGAAGTAATGACCAAGGTTGGAGGCTCTGAAACTGGGACGTTCTTCAGACCAATGCTGGATTTGACCAAAGCATCTTGATGGTTCAATCGGTCAATGCCCTCCAAGACTGCCCTCCTATGCTTCTTACCCATGGTGGTTCTCTCATTGGGGTCAATTTGCAATGGAATGGACAAGACTCCCGAACTACTTGGCTGTGCATTGGTATCTGGAGGGACTTCCGAATCGGTTTCATTGCTATCATCCAAATTGATCTCAACCTGTTCTCTCCTATCGAGGTCCCATGCCATGTGTGCTACTGGCTCGTAACTTGCGGACTCTGTGGATACGGGACTGGTTGGCGATTGTGGCTCAGACTCTGGACGAACAGTTTGAGAAATACTGGACCCTTCCGGTGTTCTTGTGTCTTCAGAACCTGACGTCTTGGATGATTCCCTAAGTCTTCTTGGCTTTGGGGGAGTTGGCGGAACGTACGAACGAACATCGGTCTTTGGACCCGGGACCAAGATCACGCTCTGCTGCAGCGCCATATATACCTGCGGGCTTCGATGGGTGAAACAGATCATGTCGGACCAGGGCTCAGGGATGTTCGCCGAGGTCTGGACCGGCGCTCCATTCTGGATGCGCTCCCAAACTGCTCCTGCCTCTCGCCGTCTGGCGTAGACAGTCTTCAACCACCCCCACTTCGACATCCAGCCGGCACGAGTGACTGCTGTCGTGTAAACGCCAGCTCGGATCTTGA